ACCTGGGGAAGGAACTGCACATCACAGTTGTGTAGTAACCACCCATGAAACATAAAATGCTCAAGCTGATTTAATAGATGTGTTGTTTCTAAATCCTAATCTGGAACTGTTGGTGGATGGTCATATTATCTGAGTAGCAACAGAGTTATTGAATAACTGCTGTGAATGAAGCAGTGGAGGCTTCACCACTCAGTCTGAGGCTGAGTGCACAAACAGCTGAATTATTTGCATTAACAAATGTCTATTAGCTGTACAAAGAAAAGACTGTAAATGTTTATGGTGATTCTCAATGTGCATTTGGAGTATGCTATGCTACCGGGCAGTTATAGAAACTGTGTGGGTTTATAACTTCTGATGGAAATAAAATATCAAATGCTTCACAAATTACTCAGCCGTTAAAAGCTATAAAATTGCCAGAGAAACTTACTATCATTCATCAGCCAGACCATACCAGCAGAAGGACAAAGAAGATATAGAAAATGGTCTAAGAGATATTGCACAGCACCACAGCCCTATGAAATACTTGTCTTACAAGCAGTCCAGTGGTCTGAGCTGGTGTTGTTTGCCCTTGAAAAGATATGTCTGACTACTCCTGCTGAAGAAATTGACTCTTGCAAAAGACAGAACGAAAGTTTCGCAGGGAACGTGGAGAACAGATGTGGAAAACCTTCCTATTTTACCTAAGCAATACCTGATTCTCACAGTGAAAATGCATCACAATACAGGGCATTTTGGGACTACTGCACTAGCACAGACACTGCTGAAGAATTGGTTCATGTCAGGAATTTATGCTGCAGCCAAATAAGTAACTGCATTTTGTATGCACTACCCTAATATCTAGCAAAGACCTCAACAAAAAATTTGACTACATACAAATGTTTTTATTGTTTTTGTATAAACTCTGTCTTTCCATCCTATTTCCTAGTGAGCCTTAAAAACACCCTGTCCTGAATTTCTCTGGGCATGCATCTCAGGGATGCAAGAACAATTTAAGAGGACATGTCCTTCCAGAAACAGCAGTACCTGCATTCAGCATGAAGTGCCCTTTAGCCCTGGAGACGGGATCAAAGTCCAGTGGGCCATCTTTTCTGCTCAAACCCGGAAGAGAGCAACAGTCTCCTGCACACTTTCATCCTCCCACACTTTGTCCCATCAGCAGTTTCATGGCTGCCTTGCTCAGCTCTGGACTGCACTGCAGGATTAATTTCCTGGTTAAAACTTGTCTTTTCTCTGGTATTCTCTCTCCTACAGCTTTCAGCTGGTGAGTAACTATCAAGCCATGCTTAGTCTGTCTGGCACACAAACTGAAGAGAGAAGAAAATTTACATTACCCCAGCAAATTTGGAAGTAGCTTCACTTAAAATAATCACTCAAATGCTTTAAGAAAAAGGAATTTCTAAGTCAGTACTTACCTTCTGGCCTTAACTCAGTCTCCACCCAGCACAGGCAGGTTCCCCAGGGCTGTTTAAACTTTGCAGTTTGGGGGAGTTTCTGGTCATACCCAATTAGAGAGAAAAACTCCCAAATGCTTTTAAGCTTAAAGGCGTATGGCTCTGAAAATTGACACCCAAGGCACACTCTGTCAATTTGCTGATTTGACTAGACCATGAAGGTAACCTCATAGTTTCTATGGTAGCCATCTGTTTGAACTGCTCTCTTGGAATTTTGGCAGCAGTTTTACCCAAATACAAGAGCAAGATATTGAAACACTGAGAAAATTATAGATTTTTCTGGGTTATATTTAGGGTGTTTGAAGACAAACCACTGAAGTTTCTAGGTTTGTTTCACTACTTAGCAGTAACCCAGCTTTTTTATTTTCAGTGCTGTATGGCACAGAAAAGTTACCCAAAGTATGGGATAACAGTGCTTCATTACTTTGAAATATAGTATCAAGCTTACTTAGTGATAACTTGATATAAGCCATTTTTGTCACAACCTCACCCCATGTCTTAAGGCAATAGCATTAATTTTGGAAATTGCATGCACATGGCTAATACTCAGAGATGAAATAAACTATGATTTTCTTATCCTGTTTCCATGAGAACTAACTGTTTCAGCTCTTCTATCTATATTTCAGGTGAAAATACCAAAACTGAAAGTGGATACAAACAGACACAAGGGTGGCAGAGCAGAAGGAAATGGGATTTGGGTGCCAAAGATCAGGGTCTCTCCTCTAGCATAGACCCACATGTGATATTGGGCATCACTTTACACCCCTGCAGCAGACATCAGTACAGCTAATCTGAAGATCTGTTCCCAGAACCCACACTGTTATCAAAATTATCTTTATCTGTCTAAAGCCACAGCACCTCACAATGGGGAATCTCAGGACAAAAGTCTCTAAGTAACTATCTTGGGGAAATCCTTCCAAAGTTGCTACTTTCTTTTTCTTCACAGCTGGAGTTTCCTTATGGTTTCTCTGCCTGGTAATTGCTGGCAGTCTCTTCTAGAGGATGCACTTCCAATAGAGGCTTCTTGCAAATTTGTAATTTATGTGCTTCAGAGGTTGATGGCGTCAGCAAAAAAACCTCTGTATGGTGCTTCTTTACACTTTGCCTAATTTTAACTCCCTCTCGAGTTCATAGTTTAATGAATAAAGCATAACATTAAATGCATGCTTCTGTATTTTCTATGTCAAACCCAGTTACCACCAGGTTACCCCACACAAAATTCCCAAGTAGGGGTCAAAAGTCCAACAGATGCCCAAAACAGTTTCTAGCAGGCAGCATGGGTACAGCACCCTATTTTGGAAGGTCTGAGTGTGGTGTCAATGCTGGAAGCAGTGCCAGCCAGTGGTCCCTATATGCCTAAACCAGCAATACAGATGGGGCTAAAGTAGGAATGGGGCACATACAGGTATAGCTGATTAAGAAAGGAGCATTCGTTCATACCCATCTGTGATGGCAGTATTAAATCAAGATAAATCTATTCCTGCTTTTGAGGTCTTTGGTATCAGCACCTGAGTGAAAGAACTGGTTCAGGAACAGTGACCACAGCAGAGCATGTGTGTGGCTGTTGTCATTTGGTCCCCTCTGCAGTCTCAGATGCTGACAATGGCAGCAAAAGGCTTGACGGCAAAGAAGAATGGGAGGAAGAGGTCCTTGATTTGAGGTTCAGGGATGAGTGGTCAAGCAAAAGCATTCTGACGCTTTTTGGATTTGCTGAACATGTCCACACCCATCTTTGACTGTTGTTCCCCTTCTACACATTCCTGTTTGACAGAAAGACTTTCCCTCTTGTTTTTATTTTGCTTCCAGCACAGCCTTTCATAATGTAATTACAAAGCTCCTTTGACATCTGAAGGTATCACATCAATGAGGTTACTGCCATCTGTAACTTGAATAGCTGTTCTGAACCTCTAGAGCAGAAAAGAAGTTTATTTTGTGCATGATTTGTTAAGCCACACCCATGAGCTTTCAGGCAGCGGGCATAGGGCCCAGGTGCCACTTAAATGATCTGGGGTTGGGCACAGCCATATTTTAAATAACGTGTATACCATGCCCTGGCATGTCAGGTTCCCACTGTGCTCTGTGGACACACTTCCTTGTGCTGTAGATGAGACCAGTTCAAAGTCTTCTCGAAATGTGCCTACGTGCAACCCTCACAAACCACTAAGCATCTGGCTTGGGGGACCATGCCTGATTACAGCATCCTCTCAGAGGTAAGCACAGGGTACATCACTAACTGCCACTAAAGAATTAAACACAGGAAGGTAGGAGGATTATCTCCATGCTGCTTATTGCACTCCTAAACTGAAGCACGCCACCACTGTGATAAAAGTAATTAGAGTCCACGTGAATAGTTAAAACAAGTCATGCATTACTTAAGCTTGGACTTGCTGCAAACTTTCAGTGAGTGCTCTGGTTCTGTTCAGAAAGTTTTACTGGCTGCCCAAAGACAAGGTTAACCAAGACTTGTCACCCTCACACATATTTCTATAAGCTCTTTGGCACTCAGCCAGACCACTGGCACAGAAAAGTCTGATTTACACCCATTGTGCTGCTGTTGAGGGGAGGTTAAACAGAGAGCTGTTTTACAGAATGTTGTAATTTGGATTGTTTAGTCTTTATTGATCTGAATATCTCGGTATGGTCAAAGGGCTGATTTATCTAGGCACAAGATAGGCAAGATCAAGGTCTCAAAGCCAATTGAAAAATAACTTTAGTAGTACAAATTTCATTGTGAAATATTTATCTTAAATAGCTCATGTATTATAATGACTTCATATTTTGATCGAAACTTGTGTATGTTTCCCCTTTCTGGTCTCTGGTATGTTCTGGGAAACTTTCTAAGACTCTCAGTTTATGTGTATTGTTACAACTAAAACTACTACTAGTCTAAACTCAGGTTTAAAGAATATTTTTATTTTCAAAAGAAGATATAAAGAAGTAAAGCAGAAATTTCAGTCCTATTTTTGTCTGATGTTGACCAATTATAAAGCTGGAGAACAATCTGGGGGTTTTTTCCAATTAAAAATACTTTTTACAATAAGATAATTATAAAACTTGACCACTTGAACAAATTTAAAATCAGCTCTCATCCTGTAAACTTTTTTTTTTTTGCTTGTTCTGGTCCTTTTAAAATAAAACCAGATTTATTTATACTTTTCAGAGAAGAGAAATAGGTTTTATTGACCACAAGTCCATTTCTTCTCTTATAAAACACTTTTGTTTTCACTGAAGTTTTTTTTTCCCTGGAGTTCATCAGAATTTTCAAAAGACTCCATAACCCTAATACAGATTTCAGTATTAATATATCTTCAAAGACAAATATTCTTGCTGACGCCTGAAAATCTGTCTAATGCAGTTTTACACTTTTTTGGATGTCTTTTAGTTGTTAAGAAAGACAATCTGGCTGCATTATAAGTTTGAGGCTTTATTCTTCGTCCTTGTCGTCCCCAGATAAAAGGTGGAAAAAGGCGTGCAATGTTTACATTAACACACTTTTATCACACTTAGAGCATTGATTTCTAGGGTACAGAAATGAAGGCACACAGGATCTACTTTTTATACTGTTACACACATTTTTTAAATTTACACACTCCTTTCAAACCTTTTAATAACACACTATTATTGTTAAATATATACCAGTATATATTCTATAAGTAGTGTTAGCTTAAAACCGTTTTCTCTATCTTATTTTTATCTTTAAGTGCAGGTACTCATCACAGGTATTCCTCCGCAGCAATTAGCAGCTTCTTTTCTCTCCTTCCCAGGCTGCCCAAGGTCTTTTAGTGGATTCCTGTGTTATCTCAGAGGCCTCTGGCTGAGCTGCTGTTTCAGAGCCTCTAACCGGAACATCTGTTTGGTTCCCTACATATTCTCTCCTTCCCTTAAACCCTCTTACACAGACCTGTCAGCATAAAAAAGAGTCAATGAAACAAGATTAGTGACACATTATTTATATAGCCTAGAAGTATCCCACCTTTAAGATGCTCTTTATTCACTGTTTGGTAGCATGTTCAAGATTATAAAATGAATGGGCTTTAATGACATTTATAAGTAACGATCTAACTGTGCATTTACCTTTCTTGCAGATAATGTAAAACAGTTTGTGAAATGTAACTTTGCTTCTTCTCTAATGATGTTTTCAGCATGAGACTCATTTGTTCATGTTGTATGTGCAAGACAGTACAAATCTAGAAGAACAAAAATCAAGGTTTAAGTCAGAAAAAGGGGTTGAAAAATGACAGCAGATGGAACCTGGCTTCATTTCATGGTAAAAAAATCTGTTAATGCTACAGGTCGTTCATCTGGATTCATCATTGCTTTGTTGGCTGACAAGCTGGAGGAATTTCTTATTTGTGGCAATGTTGCTTACTCTTGCTTTAAAAGCCTAAGATCGAAAGCAATGCAACTACTAAGAATAGGGGTGGCAAAAGTTCTAATCATAAGCCAACAAAAGCCTGTTAAATCAGCTTCATCTGAAAGTGGCTCAGGGCTGATGACAAGAAAGAAGGCACTCTCCTAGAAGTAGATGGTACAGCCTCAGAGAAAAATATGTGCAAGTCAGATGGTACAAGCCTACAAGGCAAGGTGTAAAACCATTAGTAGTGGGATAATCTGCCTTTCAGGATTTAATCTTTCTGCACTAGGGTGAAGTCAAGCTCTTTGTCCATTCCATTTAATCTTCTCTTGGATGATGTTTCCAGGTATGAGATTAAATAGTTCTGCTGCAGTGTAGAAATTGGTCTGAAATGGAAAGTCGTAGTTGTAGGGCAAGCAATATAAACAAATCTGCAACATAACTAAAAAATTGTCCCCGGTTCTGCATTAGGATTAAGTGATGCCTATAGTTAGGTAGCTCGTGGGTAAATATTAGAGCTGGACATGGAATTACAACGATGAAAATTTGAAATTTTCACTATACACCGAGGTCACATTAGCTTTTTTGGATGCCAGTGCCATGCTGGGAGCTGGTATATGGCTAATATGCACCATGTCCTTCAGTTTCTCCTCCTCTGAGTTTCTGCTTCTCACATCAGTGGGAATTTAGGCAAACTGCATTTAACTAGACTAAATGCATCCTGTTTATTCATTCACAGCATACTGATTCTGTTCATTGAATTTCAACTTTCCTCCCTATAGTCCATTTCTCTTTTATCTTCTGTGAAATGTGCTATTTTTCGTTTTAGCCCTTTCATATAAATGTGAAATAGTGAAGTGCCATGGCTCTAATTGCTGTCTTCACCTACCTAAAATGAAGTTGCAGAGGAGCCAGGACCAGGCTTTCCTCAGAGGACCATAGTGAAAGTAGGAGAGACAACAGGCACAGGCTGCAGGACAAGAAAATTCCAAGAGACGGCAACAAGGAAAGTTTCACAGGTCAAAGCCTGGAAGGGGCTGGTGGTGATATGTAAATATATGCCTTTCTCTGCCCTGCCCTCCGAGGTGGCTTGCAGACGTGCTTCCAGGCAGAAGCTGAGAGGTTAAACATGCCTTCCAGATAAATTGCCATGAGGTGCTATTATTTATTTCTGCCGACTACAAAAGTAGTCACAGTTAAAAAGTGGGCATCTGGTGTTTAGAGGATTGAAGTTACTTTACCAGGCTTCAGGTCCTTCAGGTCCTTCCCACGCAGGTGGTATTTTTCGGGCTGTATGGCTGAGAATTGCTCCACGCTGCACCATCTCCATCCCGCCAGTGCCCACAGAGGGCACTTGCCGAAAGAGCAGAGCCCCACCTGGGGGCAGGAAAAGTAAGGTCAGGCTAATTCCATGCCCACAGTTCCTGCGGTGTTGAAATGGAGCCCGGGAACACGCCGAGGAGTTGCCTACGAATGAAAATTTCCCCCGCAGCAAATAGAAGAGTTTTTCCTAGGAGCAAGACTGAGGTTTAATGCAACTCCGAATTTCGGGTTCCGAGTGCAGCCTGCCCAGAACTCCTTTGCACCAGCAGTGCCCAGGCAGGGACCAAATGTTCAGCTCCTACACACCTCCTCTGGAACGTGAACTTCCCCCTCCTGGACCTCAAAGCTGTGACCACCACACATGAGTAGCTCCAAGGCCACCAGCAGCTCCCAGTGATCCCCACGACCCGTTTGGAAACCCGCTGAGAGACTCACAAGCTTATTTGTACCACATAAAACCAGACACTGATGTACGGCGTGTTGGCACCCCGGGGGCTGCAGCAGGGCTCTGTGAGGGAGCTCCGTGCCAGACACTGGTGATTCCACCTGGCTCCAACCCACCCACCGCAGGGCAGGGCCGAGCCCACAGCCGAGGTGGGGGCACCTCGGCAAAATGTACTTAAGATGGGAGAAAACACTGCACGACAGAGTGTGAGGGGAAAAACAGCCCTGTGAACATCGAGAGGAGGTGGAAGCAGGGAGGTAGAAGAGTTGGTAACAAAGGAGGGAAGAAGTCTGGGAAGGAGTGGGAGGAAGGGGTTCAAGTCTTTGTTTCTCACCATGCAACTATATTAATTGGTAATGAATTAATATTCCTCAGATCAAGTCTATTTTGCTTATGGTGGCAATTGGCAAGTGACAGTAAGCATAGGAATACCTGTCAAATGCCTGCTGTAAGTAGTGTTAGGAGCCCTCCAGTCAGTCAATCTGTCTAGTTTTCCCTGAATTTGGCATCTTGCTTTCTTTTGTTAGTGTTGCTATATGCAGGTGAGAAGAAGAGACACAAGAAGCATGCAGGGGACCTGCAAAATCCCTGTGAATAACTGATACTTCTTTTGCACCTTCGGAGGTGCTTGGATAGTAGAGTTCCATTGGAATTAATTGCAACCTACCAAAATATAAGCAAACACAATGCAGAATAATCTATAAAGATCCCATACAGTCATCAGAAACCATAACTTGTACTAAAGCCTATATCCTGTACTCAGTATTAAATCAATGAGAATTATCTCAGTGTTTTAACTTAAAATGAACTTGCAATTCCACGGACAGAGAGTGTTTTAAATCAAAACAGGTTGTGTAGGATCACCACCTTTACCCCCACTAAGCATAACTTGCCTGACTATCAGAACGATGCCAATAAATATGTCTTACCTGAGCAAGGGTTGAGAACAAACTCAAGTCCTTCTTGGAAAATACATCAAAACTGCCTGTCTAATGCCTAAGTCTTTGCGATAGTTAAAACAATTCCTGAGGTTATCATGCATTCTTAACTAATTTTGAGCCAGGAATTATTGGGCCAGCAACATCGAAAGACATAGGAGAAACAGCAACAAGTGTCTGTATATTTTACTTGCTTATTACTGTCTTGAAGGCTGGTAACAGAACTGAAGTACTCTGATGTGTCCTGAAAGCATTACTGAAATCAGCTAACAACCTAAATAATTACGTCTAAAATGCTGTACCAGGACTCAAGGATGCTCAGTATGGGCATCTTTTACAAAAGACTTAGATCTAAGCTGATTTTGTCCCTAGTTTGCCCAGAATTTGGAACATCACAATTACAGTCTGTAGACCTGTCCCTCCGTACAACGTAGAAACTAAACTGACAAACTGGTTTTATTAAAATAAGAAGTGCTACATTCTCAGACAGGGTCAACCCACAACACTGCATCACACCATGTAACCCTGCCATCATAGCATAAGCATTAATGGCTGTAGATATTATAATGGAGAAGTACACACAAGCTCATATATAAACAATTTTAGGTGTCTTCATTTCAATCCAAATGAAGAAGATAAATAAAAAATAACACAATAGAAGTTCTCATCAACAATTTACTGAAATATCAGGAAATGACCCATCAGTTGGACTAGACCTGGAACATTACAGGGTATGTCTACCTTAGTGGTCTGGAACAGGAATATGTTTTTAAAATGAATTTCTTAAACTGTGCTTTGGCTCCCATCACAGTGTGATCTTGGAGTGTACCATCTGGATTCTTTCCGGATGAAATTAAACTGAAAAATGTGCTCCAAGAGTGCACAAATGCAGTGTAAATGGCATTCAGTCCACACAACCACTCTTGAGCTAGGCTGAAGTTAACCCTGTCCCAAACACATACAGAGCTGATGACAAGGCTTCAGTACCAATTGATCTTCTGCTCACATTCATTGCTGCTGTACCATACCTTTACTAAAAAGGTATGACCATCAGCTATTAGGCTTATCACCAGCAAGTACTGCTAGAGTCACTCCCTACAGCTTCTGCATCTTTGCTTGTGGAACTTTTGAACAGCATTATACAACAACTTTCCTCATATTCTGAAAAAAAATTTCACTTAGCAAAGGAATTAAGATCAACAACTACAGGGTTTTCCAAACTTTTGTATTAAACTAATCTGAGATTAAACCAAGGACTAAACTGCAATTGCAACTGACATTAGGAAGGCAGGTGACTGATAAGATACCGTAGATCAGTACAAACTTTGTATACCTGGCAATGAGGGAAAAGTGTTTGTAGTGCTGAAAACTTCAGTCACACTGAAGCTGAGGAGACTGATGAGTTTTCAAGTGGGCAACTTGTCCATCAAATATCCAATGAGTGTGCTCACTGCATTCCAATATCAAGCAGCATCTTATTTCTCAACCCACAGCTAATGCAGGAATAAAATTGTGCCATTCAGGATTGAGCACAAGTCTTTTTATGTAAGTTATGTCATTAATATAGAACTATAAATAACAGATACAAAACCCCAAGATAACATCCTGCAGAGCAGCTTTTCAAGGCATAAGTGCCATTTATTGAAGTGATTAAAAACACTTTAAATTCCTTTGTCTAGTTGTCTGTGGAAACCACAGACTTGAAAAAAAAAAAGAGGAAAAGAAACAACATTTTGAGTTTAGCTGGTTCTAGGCCTTAGATAGGAACTATATCAGGTTTGTGTGATGGTTTACTACCTCTCCTTTACATCTCCATTCTTTTGTTTATAAACACAAACAAAATACACCTTTGCATGAGGCATTTGTGTTAACATATAAAATATAGAGAATTTATCTTCCAAGAAAAGTACGAATTATGTTTGCAAGCCCCAACTTTCATTCATGAGACAACAGGACAATGCGACCACATAAAAAGTTTATTTGATTAGAACAGATCCTCTAGATACAGTGGTTAAACAAAAATACCATTTGGCAATAAATTTATTTCCTAAGTCAGTAATAAAATTGCAGCTTAATTATAAAGGTACAAGGCACAGGCAAGGCATTGATGTCCAGTAGAACTGGCAAGAGAAACTCCTCCCAACTCCTCCCTCCTACCTTGTTTAAAAACCACTTGTTTCATTTGCTGACAGTGATATTAAAAACAATAAAGGCATAAATTGGAAGCAATCATCATATAAAATCTGATCTGGATCTCAGAAATCCTCAGCAGCAGCAGAACATGCTGAAAGCAGTCAGTCACTAGCTCACATTTCTCTCTTCTTCACTCTTACACACACCATGCTTGCTGCCATTTCACTTGCTTAAAATTAGCAGAAAACATCTCAGGATGAAGGAAGGAAAGAGCAGGCTAGTATTAAAGTGTTATAAAATATACCTGCCTACTGTATTTTGTATAAGAGCACTAGACACTGCCCATAGAAAGGCCTCTCGAACACCCCTTTGCCTTCCTGTGCAGTGTAACTGTCTGTGCGTGGTCTGGCCGCTCTCTGACCCCGAGCACAGCTGTGGCTTGGCCCCGCACACTAATTCGCTTTCACATCATAGTACATGCGCAGAACTCTTCTCACAGTCTCCACGTATTTATCATCAGGAACAGGTTTCCTCTGGCTTCCTGGCTCTAGGAATTTCTTGATTGTGGGGATGCTGCTTATCCTTGCTTTAAATGCCTAGAAGGCAAACAGTAAGTATGTCGTATTTAAAGAACAGAAAGTAACACAAGAAAAAACCAATTTTACTGATTTGTGTAACATCCTTTAACAAGCTGTACATGGAGACAAGACGGAGAATACAGTCCTAGCAGTGGATGGATTTTACTCCCCCTCACTTCAACCCTGTTATTTTCCACAGTAATAAATCAGCCCTCTTGGGATAAAGTGGAAACAGTTATCTGTGATTTCTGATGTGTATATTACTCAAATCAGTTCTTGTGATCCAGAAAATATATTCTGCTTAAAGGTATCACAGAACTGGTGAGGAGAGGAAAAAAAGGGAGGGTGCATTTTTTCAGATGTGTACAGGGTTTACTTTAGAAAATAACAGATTCTCTAGATGAAATATATTACAAGGCTCTTCCTAAAGCAAAAAGAATGAGACTACAATGAGAAGGTGACAAATGTTTCATGGAATTATCCACACATAACACATCATTTATCACATTTACAGACGTATGAGCATATTGTTAGTGCAAGGTACCTGTAACTGAGGAAAGCCTGAGAGGACATCTGACTTCTTCTCTTCTACCATTAAAATGGCTTCAAGAAGATGAACATCTGCCCAGCTAAAACTGTTACCAACAAGAAAGTCACGGTCTTTCAAAACCTAGAAATGTCATAGATGAAAATGTTCAGATCTGGACAGCCAGCTGGGGTTCATGTTTCCAAAACTCACAGGCACACCTTTTTTAACCTTACTGTCTCCTTTTCACCCTTCTGTCCCATGCAATTACTAGGTGGGGGGATGTGGGCCTAGTGCCTGCAATCACTTTTCATTCTGCAGCTGTAATCTAAGATCCCAGGGTTTTCCTTACCCGTTGTTCCTTCCTATAGCCCTACGTAACCCTGTGTACTGGACTACAAGGTTAGATAC